ATTTTACTGAAGCTTAGCTTTCTTGACTGAACACAGATTTGAAAAAATGATATATTTGTCCTTTATTCGGCGCTGGTAAAAAGTTACCATTTGTTTTGTTCAACCAAAATACTTTATACTTGGTGATAAAACTGATCTTATAGAACTCCAAGGATACAAATTAGCGGTGACTTCAAAGCGGACTTTTGTTTCCGGTTGGTTTATAATTACCCGATACGAGGCTACAGAAGCTCTATTAGGTCCAACATCTCGTTAGCAAGGTAATTTCGGGTTTACAAGGGTTGAGTTGCGAAGACTGGTGCTAGAAGCTATGTATCTACACATTGTCTGATCATTGGCTGCCGGTCAATATAATCGTAACCTACAGCATATTATATCACGATGCCTTCCCTATGCTGTGTCCACTACACCATCTGCGAACGTTGTGCAGCACACGAGGACTATGGTGTCGGATATGAAGCGAGTTTCCCACGCCTGTGCTTCGAACAATACTGGTAAATGGGTGAAGCAGTCTGCCAGTACAATTTGTGGATCTGGATTTCACCGCCATTCGATTCGGTGAATGATTACACACTGACATTGCCAAACAGGACGTCCGGGTGCCTCATGGTGCATTCAAGGAATCTCACAAATGGAAGCAACCCAAATTTCGAAGTACTGGAGGCCCTGGGTTACTTGCCGGTAAAAAAACGGGACGGTCGTTAGGCGGGAGCCTGTTTCGTCCTTGGGACTTGACCTGACCTGAACTGGCATGACAAATATGTGAACCAAGTTATGCGGTAATTCAGACATCTTTAAATTCTACATAAGAAATTGAGGAACGATTGGAGGCACATTATTTTTAAGACATTTTTGAAATTATGCAGATTTAAACTTCTGCTTACACCTACAATACAGTATTCAGTATGCATTCATCATCAGGTTTTTTTTACAGAAATATACAGTAACAAAACTTAGATGTATTTAAGAGTGCCACCCATTCAAACCGTGGTCATCAAGGGTGGCCGGCGATTGCTGAGTTAAGCTTTGCTCACCTCGTTTGGCTGATGGTCGTAGCAGCTGCAACGCTTGGTAGTGTTTCTTTTGGGTGCATTGGTTCAGCTTTGTCAAACTTAGCATACCACCTTCGCAAGTGATTGCACACTCAGCCGATGGCTCCTTTGATAAGTCATTTTGTATATGGATCTCAAAGGCGTTCATCTTGCCAATTCGGTGGATCATAACCACCAAAACCATAGCCACCATAACCATTAATTTTACTTGCAAACGGATGGAGTGAAAATGGGATCTCCCTTAAGACCACTGTTGGCTGAAGTGTTCATGAGAAAGCTCGAAAGTGGCCTACTCAAACCGGGCGTTGTGCTGATGATATATTCTCTACATATATTTCGTATGGTTGATTGAACGACCGACCTGCAAGAGTTTGTGAGGTTCTTAGGAGACCACACCATTCAATCTCACTGTACTTCAAACTAAGCAACGAAGAGAAACTAGGAACTTTAAGGGATTCTTCCATCAAATGTGCAAACATATTCGGTGAATAACGTCAGAGCCTCATCGGTCGGGGATTGACTCACCTCAAAGTTGTTCATGGTGGCGTAATACATGGGTAAGAATGCCAGCCAAATGATGCATGTGGTGTACATTGTGAATCCGATAAATTTAGATTCATTGAAATTTTCTGGAATACGCCTTGTCTTCACGGCGTACGCTGTGCACACGATGATAAAGACTACATTGTATGCCAACGAGATGAGGAAGCTTTTATCCTTCATCGCACATCGTAGTACCAAATAATCCGATCGGATTGGATCGATTCGCGTGTCTGGGGCATCAAATCCGAACCAGATGGCGGACAGGGCTAATTGAAGAGTGATCAGTGCACCGGCAATGACAAGCTGCAAACGAGGTGATATATACATAGGTCTTCTGGTGGTGTGCTTTGTCAACAACGAGGCGTACATCATGGCGAATCCGTGCCTGATGAGAATGCGCTGCATGGAGCAGGTGAACACGGATGGCCTTGCCAGCAAAATGAAGGGGGCCAGGAAGGAAACGAGGCATCCAGAGAGCTGGAGGTAAGCCAGTTCCCGACCTGTCGCTCGAACGATTGGTGTCTCCGAATAGATTCGGCACGTTGCGATCACACCGATTGTAACACATATACCCACTCCGCTGAATGTCATGGTCATAATTGCGAACGAAGTGGAAATGTCGATGTAATGGAGCTGAGGAGTGCAATGGAAGAGTAACGTTTTCCTGTAGAAATGAGTATCAGGCTAACAACTCATCTCACACCACCTAGGCATTGAAACATATGACTAAGGTACTTATGTTCCTATAGATGTGCTGGCTGCTCTTCTTTTACCGATTAGATGCAGAAATCTGATAATAAGCTGCAACTAGCAAAGGTAGACGTTTGCTTACCATATGCTGCAGTCTACCGATCAACGGCTGGATCACGTATGGTACAAGCCGCACACCTGCGAATTTCATGACATTTTTCTCTTTGTGGAATCTAACTTCGTACATCGGAACCAACCTGAAGTGACAAAGTCATCATTCGTAGTTGATCCAGTGGGGACCGCAAGAACAATGCATTTGTTACCATGGGAACGGTGGCCTGAACATATTTGTGTAAACGGATTTGTCTTTCGTTAACTATCAAAATAGATTTGCTCTGTATCAAGATTGAACTGTGAAGCACCCCGTGGGGCTAGATATTCCCTATCTGCGTTGTCTGATTCCTAAGTTCAGGTTCAAGTGTTTAGTAACTGGAACATTGGTCTTACTAGTCCTCATCCATTGCTTAATTGTATGTGGTTTTGGGTTGATACCTTTTTATGGCATAGGGCAAGTGTAGCGCGATCTGACTATGGTAATCGAAGCAGATCGATTAGAAGACTTGTTAAACAAAAGTTTCATGCTTATATCTGTAACAAATTGCAATTTAGACGGACGGTCTGCGCCAGTCATAACGCTATTTCCACATTTCAACTACTCTGGGTGTGAAACGGACTGCGTTGAAAATCAGCGGAGTAAATCAAGTGGAGAAATTTCGTGGTTCTGTTAGACGCATAAATGTCTTTTTGCTTCAGCTACGCAACTAGTTTTGCTCCGGAAAACCTCTGTACAGTTTGGTTACAATTCCCGGTTGATTGAGAAAATCGGGTGTACGACTGGGATGTGGTGGTAATCACGCGTAAAAGTATAGTTAAATCACAAAGTGAACAACTTCTTAGCGCGATACTATTCTGTTAAACTCTAAAGCGCACAACCCACATTTACTGGGTGTAGGTGAAATGTAGCAGCTCGGCGAACGTTTAGCCTTTACCTATGTTGACATTTATTATTCGACCGTAGTTTCCTGAATTTGAAGACGTAATTAATGATGCAAGAGAGGGTCAGACGGGTACATTGATAATCGTGTGCTTTCGTTCAACCATCTCACAACCATTGTGCTGTGGAAGTCTAGGTCAGCAACATAGAGCAGATAAGTTGTATATGAGAGAACACAAACCTAGATTTCATAATGATTCGAATATCGATATTCGAGTCAAGTTACGCACTTATTTCGTGATACCGTTCAGACTCTCAGTTCCGTTGCTCACCTTCTGATACAGCACGTGACGGCGGAAATTGTGGTGTGCAAGGCGAGCCATGCTATCTCCGATTTTCTCGTGTCTATGCCTTTTTACACACACTACTCATTCATAGTGCAAGGCGACAAAACAGGAGCAAGCTGAAGAGCGTATGAGAACTGAGTCGATGCATTAAAGGTATGGGCTAATCGTGTGCACAAGGTCATTCTATTGAATAAGTAATTTTAAACGATTCTGGGTGAGTCTTGCTTAAACCACATCTTGTGTGCGACCAAGGCTAAATACGATCACCAGATTTCTTGCGCCGCATGCCACAAAGCCCCAATGGATAGGGATGAAGGTATTTTTAGTGAATCAGTCAGAATTCAGTAACTTAGGTTCAATTCCTAAAGCCACACTGCTTATAATCAAGTAAATGCGGTTAGTTTTAAGGTTTACAACTGTAGGAGCCGCATCTATGCTTATTATGACCAAAACAAAGTTTCCACCCTGCATTAAATCTCGGGTGTTGCTTAAGAGACTCACGTTTCCGTTTTCCCAGTTACCTGGTGGAACGGTGGTAGATTTTCTGCAATATGGTGCGTAGTTCTTTAAGTACAAATTGGCTGTGCTGTTGAAAGGATAAAGGAGTATCGTATGTCTGTATAAAGTTAATCTGCCTTTAAGAGAATATGGACCTCTGAGGACTCAGGCCAAGAACCACTGTAAACCCTCAATATGAGTAACTTCTGTAATCATTCTGAATCTCATCCGTAATATTCTATAGCTTATACCTAAGTTTATTCCGTATCTTATGCGTAAATGCAATCTACTTAGCTGATTTCGGTATTTAGTAACACTTTATGACCGATTCCGAATGCAAAATCTAGCTCTGATACGAATTGTGTCCTTTCAATGAACTCAAGTCCAAGCTGGGTATAGGTACGAACTTAGCGTATACTTCCAGACTATCACTCGTGCTCCTCCCTACAATACCACCTCAAGAGCAAGTTATGTCCTAGCAACTGGATTCTAATAAAGCACTCGCTGCTCTACTTGGCGACTTTCAGTTCATGCCATCTTAAGCACTGAAGTGTGCTTTCCATACTGAGTCCAGCTAGGTATTATTAGCCCGGATAGATTAACTAGAATGAACAATTATAATAATCAGCGAATTGAACAGGTTGCCACTTCACATGTGGTCTCCAGCGACCCCACATTGTAACATGAACCATTTCGTTGTCCATTTCAGGGCTTAGCTGCTAGACAGTTCACATAATAACCTATCCTGCAATGTCAATGTGACTGTTAGCTCGGGAAAACAACAAACTGTCCACAACTAATCGCCACAAGTGATCATGTACCTAAATCCAATGCAGACCAGACGGAATGACACTGCACAATTGCAACTACAGTGATGGATTTCTGTGCTGAACTAAAAACCACCTTGGGGCGATAAACAGTCGCGGATTCGCTGTCATTGCACTAGGCAGCACTGAAGAGTTGTAGACTCAAACTCTTCCAACGTGTGAAAATCAAATATATTTTTCGCTCCACAACTCTCCCCTGCCCGACGGTTTTCCCCTGAGACGATGGAAATAAAAAGGGAGTCTTAAGTACACTTTTATGGTAGGCTCTAATGACGTACTTTGTCTGAGCATTTTGTACAACACATCAGATGTTAGTCTTGCAGTTTGAAGATTAACTACTAGCTTTATTGGCATGGATGAATGACGCTGTTTGCTCATAAATTGTAAAGAAATATATCTATACATGGGTGGTGCTGTAAAAGTCTTGCCCCAAGATGTATTTTAAGGGATTTGTTTCTTTCTTCTCACCCTACCTGATATCAAATGCGTCCAAACTAACAAAGGTTTACTCCATAGGAAACGCACAAGTAATGACGACCCTCCTTTCTGTTTGCGATAATATCACCACTTAAATTGATCTGCGTCATTTAAACAATAAGCAAGAGCCAGCGCATAAAACGTATGTGTTTCCTGCGAGAAATATCGCGCTCCACGACCGGATTAATACTTATCTGCACTCATCAGGCAGCGATTACATGTTTGAGACTTGAACCCTACCGTAGACCACTGAGTTCCGATAAGCGGCAGCATTGTACTCTTTGTAGACGCAGTCTTACCCTGCGATCGATCAGACATTTTGGCTCCCTCCTCCCTGGAGCAGCAGCTCTTCGAACGATCAATTCACTCTTATACTACTAAACCCATTACTAAAAACACGAATTGTACTACTGATAATAGTACCTATACTTTGCATGATCCGAGAAAATTTGGCTGTTGCGGCGCACATCAACATATACAAAAGTAACCATACTATCGATGGAGCGATATGCTTAGGTGCCTAATATTTATGTAAGATGCTTGCATTGCATGGCCGGGAAGAAGATACAGTTTTGGAAACGTTTGTGTTTTTATCTTTTGGGGGCCCCTGCAGGAATAACTGATCGAGCGCTCTTTCCTATGTGCATATGATCATTAATGTTTTCAGGTCAAGATAACTTGCGGGTTTCCTACTAAATATGCCTACATTGTCATATGACCTGGGTGTGAGTGACAGTTTAGACCGCAGATACATTTATCTAACAAGAAAGATAACTTAGCCATGTTTGTTACAGCCTCTGGCAAAACCAATGTGTAACATTTGTTGCGGAGCTCACGAGTTGAGGTATGTTGCAGTTCGGGTGTAGGCAGGTAGGAATAGGTCTTTTTGTGCGACATGATGTTAAGCAATACCAAGCTATGCTTCAGTCGGCACATTCGAAGTGGCTCGTGTTGAATATTGTTGCAACGCTCTCGATAACTCATAGCAGAGTGCTTACCAACTGACTTTGGTAAATGACTTCTGCAGGTGTTTTAGAGCACTTTGGTTGCCTTTTCACTGTCTGGGATAAATTACGCTACAGTACTCAAGGACATGACGGGTAAGTAGCTTGAAAAGCTTCTCTTATTCACGTAAAAGAACAGTTTTGGCATGTATTCGTTTATACGTGTCTCCACTTCAACAAGGAATTGTATTCATAGGTATGGAGAATTGTCTAGTTACAGCATTGTTTAAAGTGCACTATGATCCGACATCATCATAAAGCAAGAACAACACTTGTTTATAAACGGATAGTTTACTCTCAGTGGAATATTCTACAGATTAGCCAAACGAACAACAGGTCCGTACTTCTTTCTGACATGCTGAGAGTGTTGCTGCGTCACTAAATCCCGTGCTTCCAACACCGCATTCCATAGAAAACGAAGTCCGCCACTCGTTTTTATTAAGTATGCTTTCAGAGTCCCCCTAGGGCATTGCGGAATATTGCCTATTCGTTGCCTGTTTTTATATGAGCCTTTAGTATGCTCCAGATACTTTCGATGGCGTTGCTTGATAGAGAGTACGGCGCAAGTGGCATAATTAGTGGTCCTTTTTCGACTGAACTCTACTCCATTTAATACGGTTCGGAACAGTGAAGAGATCCTTACAAATCGGCGACCGTCAACTGTAGTGCAGATCTTCAGAAACAGTCAGCGTACTTATGTGACAATTATCGAGGCATTAGCTATGTCTTCGTTGCATCCCAATTCCTCACGCATAACATT